GACATTTGGGTGTACAGAGTTCTCACTCATCGATATGGCATAGCTGGTCACCAACAACATATGGACCAAAAACAGTCATGTTCCATAACACAGTTCACAAATTATAAATTAAAAACTATAGCAATTTTGCATAACAAATATCTCCATAATTTCCATACCACTGTATGTACTTCATTTAATTTTTGATCATTCAATACCCTTCAAAAAGAGATTCTTCTGTCCTAATTTCACATGTCTTTGGCAATATTGGGTGGGTGTAACACTTTCAATTTCCGCCAGTGTATATATAAAATGAAAAACAAAACTGATGAAATTTTTTATTTTATATATTTATATTTAAATGTGACACATGCATGTAAATTTTTAGTGTTCAAATACAGTGGAACCTTGCTTAACGAGCAAAATAAATTGTGAAAATTGACTCACTTAACAAGCGACGTTTTGCATAACAAGTGGCCAGGAGAGGAGAAGTCCTGGATTGTGCTCAGTCTGTGTTTAGCACTCGTTCAGCTTGCAACTTAGTGTCGTTTGTAATCACACATTTTTCCAAACTTGTGTTCACATATATTATGTATAAACATCAACAACCATAGCCTGTTATATAATAAACATGCCAAACAATATGCCAAATTCTTGGGCTATGTAAAGACTATAATTACATATTAGAAATTAATTAATTTCTAATATTTAATTATAGCCTTTACATAGCCCAAGAATTTGGCATATCGTTTGGCATGTTTATGAGACATATATTATCTGTAATTTTTTTTGTTTTTTTGTTTTTTGCAATTCGAATTTGCATTCCGCGCTAGAAGAAAAGATGATGATGATTCACGCTCCTTAACAATGTTTATTGTATAATTTTCTTTGAATAAACATTATACATAAAATATTTGAGTATTTTTTTTCGGCATTATTACGCATTATTGTATTTTACATTAATTTATATGGGAAAAAATTGTTTCGCATTATGAGTAAGACTCTGGAACGAATTATGCTCATTAAGTGAGGTTCCACTGTACATCATCTTTGTAGGTTTTTGGTTTTGGTTGATATATTTATATTTTATAATCTATGTAGAAGTCTATCCGACCTGGACAGTTAAATGCTCAATGTCCTAAAGAACTAATATTCAAAATGCAACTTGTTTCAGAGGACAGCTTTCATTCTTATTTTTAAATTGTAATCTGTTTTTCTATCCTGAGGTAGGTCATTTAAAACAATCAAAAATGTTAGGAAAATTAAAATCGTACTACGTTTTTAAAGATATGAGTGGTAGTACAGTAGTTTAAAGTAGATACCTACAGCACTCCACATCAAAGATATAATTAAAAGAATAGTAACTTCTGACTTTTGATATTAAACAGATTCATATTGAAATAATTTCTAAAACTCTGTATTTGAATATCTAATATAACACATTAAATATGCTGTCTTTTGATTGGAAAAACATTTCCAAACTGCATTACAGAACCTGGAGTTGAACTGTAAACAGTTTATTTAATGTGTCATTTTTGTAATTGGTGTAAAGTGTATGTATAAACTTTGTTGAAAATGAAATATTTACAAATCTACAATGGCTGAGATTGAATACAAATAGAATTCTTAGATTCAAATGCAATATAACTTAACAAAATTTAAATTTAATATATTAAGTACACTTCAATATAACATGTAATACTATAGCCTCTACCCAAAATGTACTATACTAGCATTGAAAACTGAGCTGGAATGGGGTAGATATAAATAAACTTTACTATGTATCCCCAATATTAGAACACAGAAAACCACCACACAATAAGCTTAAGGATCAATTAAGCAATCTGTAGAGGAATATCCAGTGTTTTGGAATTTCCAAAGTTGGATAATTGCAACAGTCTTGCTGAGCCAGGCTCACAAAGATTGGCCTAATGATGAGAAATGGTGTCTGACATATCCAAGTCAGACTATATAAAAAATTCTGGGATTGGGTGTCTGAATTGATCCAGTGTCCATCAGAGGAGTAGGCCGACCCTAACCGTTTCTGGCCATTTGGCTAGTTAATTTTTTGTTGTTAAGTGTACGTACTTAATTTTTAGCTACTTAGCTGGAAGATTAAAAACAGTTTTAATAAATTTATAGGCCTATTACGATAAAAACTGTAGGACTACTGTCCCTAAGAATTTTAAAACATTACATTTTTAATGTGTCATCAAGGTGTACTTTGTTGTTGTTGTATTAATCTGCATTAACTAACAGAGTAGCATTAAACATTTCTTTTTATTACATACACTAAAACCAGTTGTTAAAAAATTTCAAAAATAACTTTTACCATTTAATCACACACGAGGAGAAAGGTTCTGATTTTGCATCAGCTGAAGAATACAAGACATAGTTAATGTTATTCCTTCTGTGGAAAAGGTGCTACATGTGTTGTTATTACTATTGTCATCAGGACTGTTCTGTTGTGTATGAATAGTCTGATGTTTGCTTTGGTGTGTGTGTGGGGCATGTCTACTGATATTTTTCCCCAGTCTGCCAGTATTGCCTTACTGTCTCGTTAAATGGGTGGCCTCAGTCTGTGTAGGCATCCCTCTATTGGAAAGGGAATCCATTAATGTATACCAGATTTGAAATCTCAGTTTGCTATGATGATTGAGCAGCCTATTGGTAATGATTGCGAAGCTAGAAACTTATACTGTTTACCACGCACTGTGCAAAGAGAACTGTTGAGACTGTATACTTTCCATTGGTAATAGTGATCACGTGAGTTTTTAATATTATTATTAGTACGAGTAATTAAATTTGAATTAACATAATTTTTAAATATAAGATACAGACATGTTAGAGCTATCAAAGAAAGATAAAGGCTTGTTATAGACAGGGCTGACAGGAATGTTTTGGGGGACCTCAGAAAAAGTTATTAGTGGGGTACTAAAATAATTTCAAAAAAGAATTTTATCAAAAAATCATATAATTTTATTAAATACCATTTGAAATCATAAAAAGACAAGAATCAATATAAGCTTAATTAAAATATTTCCCATATCAATATATCTCTGAAACATCAAATTCTTTTTCAAATTTCTATGAAAATTTGAGTTTGGAACCTCTCTGAGCTTGGGTCCTTGGTCTGAGGCACTAAAAACTGATGTCTGAGCCAGTCTTGGTTATAGAACAGTAATAATTCAATTATTAGTCCTGTTTTGATTCAGAGAATCAAAAACATCTAGCAGAATAATGATGGACAAGGGATTAATGAAATGAGAAATGAATATTGATTTTCTCAATGGAAATATATGCATACCAGTGTTCAGTGGCCCATGACCGACATGCAAACCCATGACTGACTACCAGTGGCCGAGTGGAGTTTTCTGGATCTCTTTCACATTAGTAATATCTAAATACATGCCAGTTTACCATAGAAAATCCTCTTCATCCCCTTCAATAGATTGTCCACATGTTGTGTAGCAGTAAATAAATAAATCAAACCAAACTAAATGGAAACGTGATAGTTCTAGTACCTATTTGTACTACCAGATATGCTGTAAACAGAACCGAAGATGGATATAATACCCGAAATGCATTTTCTGTTTGAATAAAGCCTATTTTACCCCATTCGCCTTTTTTCCTGTATGATAAGTTTGTTATGGTAATTTTATGCTCACATAGAAGACATGATAGTTCTATGCTACTACTGCGGCAATAACTAAGATGCATTTAAAACTAAACATACATTTATTAAACAAAGTTTCGTAAAATTCTTCATTATTCATGTTGTTGTTTGTTGATCTATAACTTTACAACATGTATTGTTCTATAATTGTTTTAGTGATTTTATTATATTTTACTAATGCAGAAAAATGTATAACAAGAAGTTTGACTAAATTATAATCAATTTATTTTGTTCAAGGTGTTCACGCTATCAGTAACAGAGACCATGTTTTCATCACATAATTGCAATCGTTAACTGAAATCTTTTAATTTTTGCATCCAAAAATAGCTTCAAGACTTTGATCGTTTTTATCAATTCAACAAAACATAATTTACAGTTTATGAAAATAATTTAATATAACAAAATATATAGATTCTTAATTACCAAAATACAAGGAATTTATATTGACGGCTACGTTAAAAAGAAAATTAAAAGTAATGATAACTTTCTTTCTTTGTATATCCATAAAGAAAGTTCCAGTAGACTTTTTGATACTGTGTTAATTCGTTTTCTATGCGGATTCTTTTTTCGTCGAGTGGATTTTCGTCCTTTTTCTGGTTATTCAACGAATCTTATAATCTTTTTCGTAAATTTAATGTGGTTGTCTTGCTATATTCTAACTTGAAGTTGTTTGAAATAGTCTTTATATTACCAGTTTTGTATTATATTATAGTTTTTTACTGTATTATCATCAATTGACTTGATAATATACAATAAAAGTCACTTTTTGTTACTAAAAATTAAAAATAAATTACTTTGATCGATGGCTACGAGAGATCATTTATATTAATGTTCGAAGTTCAAATTTCATCAAAAGACTTTGTAGACGGAAAATTTGCCGAATCGATATTTTTCTATACGTAATTAGATTGTAATTTTAATAAAAATTTCAGTTTTAGATATAACTTGTGTACTATAAAGCCAGCTTCCGACAGGTAAGAGAAGGTTTATATGATGATAAGTGATATAATTTTTGAAATAAAATATATTTATTCTAACTTTTAATAAAATTGAAATACTGTTTTATGCCGAAAGTATTTGTATTTTGTATCTCGCTCACTATTATTTTCATTATTACATGATTTATGTAATTAATAGTTATCATTTATGTTAAATTTGTTCCTTTTACTTCGCGGAATATCTATTCTTTATTAAAGTTATTAAAATATGGGTTTAGTTATTGTACCTGCGAGTAAATGTAAGTCAATAACATCTAGATAGTGGATTTATATAATTTTCATCAAGAATAAATTCAAAGTAATAAAGCAAATTAACTTTCATTATTATTTATTTACTATTTTTACAGTCTGTGAAAGCCAGAAATGGTGTCTTTTGTTTTCTTATAAACGAAGCGAGAGAAACAACAGCTCTAGAAATGCCTGATCACGAGAATACATTTGTGTTAAAGGTATTTAGTTTTTAACTGTATTATTATTTATTTATATGCAATAAGTTGTTAAAATCTAAATTTTATTATATTAAATATTTATATTAAAAAAATGTTTTTATCAATTTTGAAATAGACTATTGGTCATCCTTTTTTGCTTTTTAATTTTTTTTGTTTGATTTGTTCATTTGATAAGAATAAATGATAAAGATTTCAATTGCTTCTATTCAATCTTTGCGAATAATTGAATTTGTGTGATTTAGTGTCTCGGATAAAGAATAGAAACACAAGCAAAAGTTTGACAATTACTTAGACGCAATGTAGCTATTGATTCTAGTGATATCAGTTGCTATTACTTTTGTTTATTTGTAAAGATATTAGTTATTACTTTGTTTGTTTTCTGATTTTTACTAGAAATTTAAAATTACCGTAGAAGAACATCAGAAGTGATATAGCATTGTTTAAAGTCGTCATCATTTTGTGTGATCATCAGATACAGATATTAGATAAAAGGTTTTTGTTTTTAAAAGTTTATTTTCTGTTGTAGTTTTTCTGCATGTGAACTACAGAATGTACTTTTAAAGTACATTATATTAATCTTGACCTGCCTGCTATGATGTACAGTAGCAAGGATGAGTCTGTTACTATGTGAAGGATACCTTATTACAATTTGTTAGAAAGTTGCTAATTTTTCTCTTTTTTTTAAGAAATACTTCTATTTTATAAATTACAAAGCTTTGGAATTTATTTAACGAATAAGATTCTCTATATCTTACAGCAGTTCGGAAAAACATAATTAAATAATTGTTTCTCTGAACTGCTGTTATCAACAAACAATAAAGTCAATATATCCCTGGTATTGCATTGTATATGAAGATAAATTTAATTACTTTGCATTTATTTATTTTAAACACTTTAACATTACATTTGTTATTAAATGAATTAATAAATACAGTAGATCATCGATTATCCGAATACCGATCGACCGAAAGTGTTCCAGTCGGCAAATTCAAATTTCCGCCACTGAAATATTTGGCTGTCTTGGGCTACTCCAATATTATTTTTGTTGGTGTGCGTGTTTTAGCCGGCAGCATGGTGCGACCGTGAGAGGGTATGAATCGGAATGTTTTTGATACTAGATTAACTTCCGAAATATAATTTTTTTTTGTTTTTTTATATTTTTCAATATATTTATATTGTTTGTGCAAAATAAAGAAATAATTTTTACTGATACAATAGCCATGATTATTATTTTAAAAAATTTTTGTTAGACTTAACATCGACAAAAATTCAACACGAAACGACACGCAAAGGAGACAAATTTCAATGTGGGATAGGTTAATATATTTTTTCGTACAAAATCAGTTATCCGAACAACCCCAGTCCCGAATTGTTTCGGATAATTGATTAATCATGTGTTTTTTAAATATTACATAATATTTAACAACACAACTTAAGTTTTATTAATGACAAATTAACAAAGCAACGAAAGAAGAGAGAAAGGAATGATAGCTTATAGCTTCCACATTTTTTGTATTTTAATATTTTTTTACATAAAAATACATCACAATACATTACAAGTTAAATTTTTATATATGTATACATATTAAATTTCTTATGCAATAAAACAATAATTTATAAAAATACAAAACTAATACAGTAGAGCATCAATTATCCTACCGCCAATTAACCGTCACATCGGTTAACCGACCGTTCTAGTCGGCAAATTTCAAATGTCCGCTAGTGATGTGGCGCTACAATATTTGGCTATGTCTTGGATACTTTAATATTATTTTTGTTAAATTTTTGCATGCTTTAGCTGGCAACACGGCTCGACCATTGAAGGGAGGCCAGTATTTAAACGAGACTTAATTTTCTAATTACGAGTGGTTGTTTGTTTTGTGAGCAATAAAATAATTTTTAACAATACAATAGCAACGATTATTATTTTTAAAAAATTTGTTAGGTTAAACATCGATGAAAATTCAACGTGAAGTTGGTTAATAGCAATATACTAATTACATGGGATATCCTAATATACCCAGGGTGGCCAAGCTCCTTGATAGTCCGAGCCATTTTTCAAAATTTGAAATTTTTCGCGAGCAGCAATTAAATACGTATTAAAAAGGTATGCAAAAAATTCCAGATTACAAATTATATCCATAGCAAGAGTGATACAAATTGTTTCTTCCAGAGCACAATGTCAACTGTCCATTGCAATGGCATTTTACAAATTCAAAATCGGTCTGGAGTCGGTCGATAACAGACGATTACGCCACTGTTTATGTTCGTTTGCGCAGTTTTCGATGAGTCATATCATTCTTAACTTGGACGGAAATAAAATTTGTTACAACGTTGTACTTAGCCTTTTATATTTGTTGTTAGTAATTTAAAAGACATTTTGAAACACATACGGAACGATAATAATTTTTAAAAATATAACAACACAAAAATGAAAAGGGAACTCGGGTACGTTTATCGAGATCAACAAATAATCGTTCAAAGAGCCGCATGTGGCTCGCGAGCTGCAGGTTGGCCACCCCTGTAATATACTATACTAGTAATGTATTTTTTTCATTATTTTCGGTTATCCGACCAACCCGAGTCCCCAATTGAGTCAGATAATCGATGCTCTACTGTACTTCTTCTGAAGTATTAACAATATGGAAAATAAAACAAACACTGATGAAGCAAATTTTGCCATTTCCCTGGCAAAATACCATTATCATACTGTTAACTTTCACACAATAAAGAAAATAAAAATTTTACTGGAAATTTATTAAACCAAACTGTAAATTATCTTCACAATCCCCAAGAAATAACCCAATTTCCAATAATGATTTTATTATTCACACCAAACAATTGCCTAAATAATTGGGCTATAACTTCACTAATTTTAATAATTTATTAAATAATTTAGAAGCATCTGGAAGAAAAGAATTGACCTGGGTTGGGGCTTGAACCTGCAACCTCTGCTTGTCAGTTGCATCATCTGGACCCCGAGCAAGACTTCGCTTCCAGATGTATTTAAATTTAAATATAACCTTATGCTGTTAACCTTAGTGTTGTCTGGGGACAACTCCTATGCCCACGGTCTAAATACAACTCCACGAAGGCACTCAGCTAGCTAACATTTTACCTGGTGAAGTGTATATATGTATAAGTATAACAAACATCGCAAAGCCTGATATGTATACAGTATAGAAACAGAATTAGAGCCTGATTATGTAGGCAATTGTTTGGTGGTACATATCAGGCTTTGCGATGTTTGTTATACTTCTTTATTATTGGAAATAGGGTTATTCCTTGGGAGTTATTCTATATTAAGAGTAGAATAGATTTTCTACTTTTAGTAAGTAGAGACTGGTTTGACCTCCAACTTTAGAGCAATTCAAACATCTGGTTTTAGCAATCCATTCTACTGTACTCGGAAAATAGGTGTTAAAGTTCAAGGACATTTAAAGGACCATTTCCCTTTAAATGGATGCGGCCCCAGACGAACGTGCTAATTTGCATATTGGGGTGCATACAATAATACCAGGTTTGGCTCCTTTTTTACTCTTTTGGCACCAAAAAATATTTTCTTCAAACAATCTTCAACAGAAAAAAATCAAGAATTTCTTTTAGCTTTGTTTTGTTTAACCATTCTGAGATACTGCTCCACACTTAAACAGCAAATCCATCTTCTCATTTTGGTTGATTTGAAAATCATTTAGATCATTAATTTATTTTTGCAAGTAAATTTAATTTTATTGAATTAATTTACTAAATAATTATAATTCAGAGATTTCAATTATCTATTAATTCTTAATTCTGTAAATTATACGACTTTGGCCCTGAAAATCATTAATACAGATTTTTGATAAAGCAAACTAACTACTATTTCCTCACAATTCACATTAATATAAGTCGACTGTAATTAACAGTTTTCATATTATACAACTCAAACATTTCTCATGCTATTAGTTTTTTGTAGTTACATCTTACAGAATTATAACTGTTTACATTAATTTTCATTAAAAGAATGAACTTCTATTTTATGAAGCAATTAGTGAAAAGTGACCAAGTCATTTTTTTCAGATTTTATAGATTTGTATAAAGTTTTCTGCTTAAAATTAACAATTTATAATAGTAAAACACAATTTGGCAAGTCACAATTAATATTAAAGTCATTTACAAACTAGTATAGTGAAAATCTGTTTCTCAAATTTACAATTATTTTTAATCATAAGCGTGCACAATTCCAAGTAGACCTTTATCTGTATGCAACCACCAGACCTTGCTCTTTAGTCTTCCTTTAATAGGTAAGATTGCAGACCAAAGCATACATACAAAAGCAACCATTCATTGTCTGCTGTGTTAAAAAATTTATAAGAAAAGTTACGCAGATTGTCAAGATTATTATTCAATAGAAAATTTTATTGGAATTCTGTGGAAGTAATTTGTAAGTAGTGAAAAATTAAAATAAAATCTTTCATTTATTTCCACATAGATATAAGAGAAACAATTATGTATGATTTATTAGTATTCTTAGTATACTTCTTGTAGGTTGAATGAGCAAGACCTTGACATTTCTACTGCTTTTGTCACACTATTCCATGATAAAGAAATTTAATTTTATTGTTTTTTATTATTAAATTAATTTTTTCATTAAATATGTGATATTAATAAAATAATAATGTACAAAGCTAAGAAATTTTAGGGATTTAACAGAATTAATAGATAAGACTAAGGGTCTGTTTGAAAATGCTTACCGGTTCAACCGCCAAGACTTGGTGTCATTCAAAAACATTATGTTGCCTATAAAGTTTTCGATAATTTACCGGTTGCTACCAGACTCGCTGATCTTTAAGAGTGGATTAGAGAGTGACCAACCAAATACCAACAATGTCATTCATTGCTACAATCAACTAATCAGTAAGCATTTCTGAATGGGCCCTAATAGTAGTAGTATTTAGTAAGTAACAGTAATACATATTAAATCACAAAGTTGAATTTCTTATATTATTTTAATCCTAATATAACCCGAGTCCAGTTCACCAATTTATTAGCATCATAGATCTAAAACCCAATCTATAGCAAAAAGAAAAAGATGTGTGCACTTTAGTTTATTTTGTGTATGTATGTAGTTTAAAGGAAATGTTGCTTGGATCCTCAAATTTTTTGTGAATGGTTTGGTTTTGTCCTTCACTACTTGCCCTTTTGGTCTGTGGCCAAATCTAAAATGGATACAAAATAAAAGGCCATTTTGCTCTTATGGAAATAGCAGAAAATAAATGAAATAATATCTATTACACTGATTTTAAATAATAATAAAAATAAAAGACTAAAAAGGCAGTGGCTATTGCGAAAGCAAAGGCTTTAGAAGAGGCTTATAAAGCTTTCGAAAGGAAAGGTGAGGAAAGGCAGTTGATGAGAATTGCCAAAGCAAGAGATAAGCCATCAAAAGATTTTTCCTCTATTAAACTGATGAAAGATGATAAAAGAGTGGCATTACAAGATTACAAAAGGGTCAAGGAAAGATGGAAAGTATATTTTGGGAATTTATTGAATGAGGAAAACTCCAGAACTTTATTCAAAGATGGAACGGAAAATGAAGGAGTGGTGCAAGATATTAGCAGAGAAGAAGTGGAAAGGGTGCTTAGGGAAATTAAGCAAAAAAGCAGTAAGAACCGATTGGATTCTGGTGGCGACTTGGAGAGGTTTGGGTAAGGAGAGGATTGATATCCTCTGGGACCTTATGAAGAAATTGGCAGCAGGATAAGATCCCAGATGAATGGAGGAAGAGTATTCTTGTGCCAATCTTTAAAGGTAAAGGGGATGTACAGGATTGTGGAAACTACAGATGTATAAAGTTGTTGTCCATACTATAAAAATTTGGGCGAAAATTGTCAAAAGAAGGATTAGACAGGAATCTGAGATTGGAGAGGAACTGTTTGGCTTTATGCCAGGAAGGGGTATGACTGATGCTATCTTTGCTTTGAAACAGCTGATGGAAAGGCATATGATAGATACCAAGGCAAGAGATATGGAGATGTTTGAGGGAAAAGAATGTTCCAGAAAAATGTTAGGCTTGTCAAGGAAATGTATGAGAGAGTGGAGACTCAAGTTAAGAGTAGCGTGGGTCGTACAGAAGGGTTCTCCACGAATGTTGGTTTACATTGGGGATCGGCCCTTAGCTCTTATCTGTTTTGCCTGATAATGGACATGTTGGTTTGTGACATAAAATGTGGTGCTCCATGGAGTATGCTGTTTGCAGATGATATTGTGCTGTGTGAACCTTCCCAAACCAAGGCTGAGAAGAAACTGGAAGAATGGAGAAAAGTTTTGGAAAAAAGGGGCACGAGAATTAGCAGAACTAAAACAGCTTATATGACTGAATGGCAGGGACGAGTGCAATATTAAAATCCAAAATGTGCCGCTTCCTATGTTTCTGAGTTTTAAGTATCTAGGGACCTTTGTCGAGACAGGAGGATTGAAGTCGGAAGTGCAACATAGAATTCGTTGTGGATGGTTGAACTGGAAGAAATTGAGTGGTGTGTTATGTGACAAGAAAGTTAGCTGCAAACTGAAAGGTAAATTGTACAAATCGGTTGTTAGACCTGCAATGTTGTATGGGGCTGAGACATGGGCAATCACAAGAGCCCAAGAAAGAAAGATGGAGGTGGCAAAGATGAGAATATTGAGATGAATGTGTGGAGTGTGAAGGAAGGATAGAATAAGGAACAAGTTTATTAGAGGTTCTGTTAAGGTTGGACCCTTGAGCAGGAAGATGCAAGAATGCAGATTGAGGTGGTTTGGTCACATAGAGTGAAGTAGTGAAGATTATGTTGGAAAGAGGATCGGAAAACTGATAGTGAAAGGGAGGAAGACCAAGGCTTCATTGGAAAGACAAGATGGAGGAAGACTTGAATCAGAGGGGATTTAAGAGAGAAGATGCCCTAGATAGGAAGAAATGGAGGAAACATAATAGAAAAAGAAATGCCGATCCCATATAAACATGGGAAAAGGCAAAGATAAATAATAAATAATATTACATTGACATTCGGCCAAACTTGTATACAAGTCAAACTTTTACAGTTTAATTAAATTTTAATTGAATAAAATAACAAGATTGGAATTCGAAGGGCATTATAAGGTATTCCTGCCTAAATCTGCAATCAGGCCAAAACTTTTTTGGTGGATTGGTCATGATCTCAAACTGTTTTATATGAAATTTCAGCTTCAAAATCATATATGCTGCAATATTATTTTCTAATTATTCTGAGTGAGTATGCATACATATATGTATATATATTTCTATAAAACTGTAACAAAGGTTTTTGTAAAAATATGTTAACCCAAAAACAAGAAACATGTTAAAAATTTTGCTATTAGTTTAGTTTGGTCATAGATATTACTATTAGTATTTGGCAGTTTTTAATGGGGATTATTGCTTGAAGGTGAGTTTATAGCCAAGATGATGCTTGTCATTATTCTTATACAGCTAAGTACATTAAAACTTTGGGAATAAAAAAAGATTTCATCTCACTTTTACACAATTTGAGAAATATGTATTTGTTATAATATATTTGCATAACTTCTCAACAGTAAAAAGTTAAAAGTTGTATTCTTTGAAATTTTTTTTCTGAAATTCATTTAAACAATTTTCAAAAAAATTAATTTGATGATAAATTACTCAATATTTATCACTTCTGTTAATTGACGAGACTATGTCTTGTCTAAAATCACACTGCTGTCAATGGCTTCACACCTTAGAGGTATGAAGGAGTACAGTACATGTCAGGAGTTGCAATTTGGCACAGAGTATTTGGTGCCCAAATCATGCGCACATAAAATAAACCAGACTTATAGGTAGTCAGGGGAAAATACAAAATGCTGAGACCGTTTCTACAAACAGGCGCAAGTGCGAGATTTGCACATGCGTTGCTCACGCTTCCGAGAGATGGTCTTGTCCCAAGAACGGCTTTGCCATTTTACTTGTTTAGAAATAATACTTGCATTTATTGGCATTTTTATCAATAAATTTTTGGCTGATTGATCATCGCATTTGGCTTTAAAAGAAAATTTTTAAAAAGTTTTTTTTTTTTTAAATTCTATAACAAATGAATGAATGAATTATTTGTTTTTTATATCTTTCCTTTGTTATTTATGATCTACTAGTTTTTTCTTTTTATTTATTTCAATAAACTTGATTTATCATCTGCATATAATAAAAAAAAATATTAGATCAATTTTATAGATATTATCAGATAATAAGTCATAAAGATTTGCCATTGTGTACATAAATAAAACAATAAAAAATCAACCTGAAGTTTTGTGTGAGAGTTGAAGTATTGACCAAATATTTACATTAAGGTGTATTAAACTATAATATTCTATTCTGAATTTTTCAATATTAACATTTTCAGAAATGGAAAATGTTAAAATGCTTCAGTCAAAATTCAAAATATATTTTAATTATAGTGTAATATTTGATAGTTTATTACTATAAGTAAATTTTAATAAAAGATAAATGAAATTTGCAGGCGGAAAATCACATGGAGTACGTCATCGAAGCTCACGATTCGGAAGACATGAAATCTTGGTTAGCGACCGTGAAATATTGCATGAGACATTTAGGAGATACTAGTACTGAAAATTCGTAAGTATGTTTCCAGAAATTAGAATCCAGTATTTAAAACTGTATAAAATTAACCAGGATAGAAGAGATCTACAAACCGATTAGTCTCTGTATATTTACACAGAAATATTCACACTATCGACATCATTCGGTAGATAGTTCGAAAGTTAAAAGTAATTCTAGTTTATATTTTACACATGCATTACAATTTATATATTGACATCCTGTATGTAGTAGTATAAATACAATGCTTCTAAACTGGATGGTTGCAGATTTAAACAGGGAAAAGTTTTTTACAAAATAAATTTTATATAAATTAATCCAATGCAAGGTAAAACGTAGTATGATAAAGCATTCTAATCATTTGTATTGCATAAATTCTTGATAGAAATGCAACCAAGGAGTGAATTACCCATTGATAATGACATGAGGTATGGTTAATCTGTAAATTACCTTTCCAAAACAAAATGGGATTTATCTTATCATTAATATGTACACAGTTAACTTTTATAAAACAGCATAAATAAAAAAACAAAATGTTAACTTTTACTACATATATAAAATTAATTTATATAATTTAAAACTTAAATCGTCAACTAGGACATATCTATTATTAGGACTTATTATACTGGATAGTTGGTTCTGCAAAGTCAGAAAAACAGTTTTTATTAAGACTGTTTTTCTGACTTTGTTTACTTAATTTACTTAATACATCAAATAATTATTAATTTTTCATCTACTAAATATTAAATTTTTTATGAATAATACCTAAAATCGATTGTTAAATTTTCCCCCAGTAGACCACGTCTGCCTACCGTACCAACTGACAGTCTCACAAGATTACGAGAAAAACAAAATGCTACAAACATTAAAAGTAAGTTATATTTATTATATGTAACTTTTTAAAACTAAATTTAAAGTGGTAAGATCCATAAAGTTTTTCTTTCTTTCAGTAGCAATTTCAGATGATTTTGTTTCTTATCATTTGTCATAAATGTGCCAAAATTATATTTATTTATCTAGAACAATTATAAAATAATAACCAAAATACTTTGGGTTATTAAAATATATATACGAGGACAGCTTTTTTTTTTTCAAGCTCCAATGGTCCATAAAACAAAGACAAGTGTAAATAACAAAATGAATTTATTACTAAAAGTTAGGTACAAACATGGTTACTTTTTGACGTAATCACCGTGAAGATTGAGGAATTTGTCATATTTGTGGACAATCTTTTCCATCCCCTTGTCATAGAATGTTGCCGCCAGTGAATTGATATGGCCTTAATGTTTTGAAGATCATCATTAGTCTCAAACCTCTGCCCTGTTAGCCATGTTTTCAGTTCAGGAAAGAGATGGAAGTCTTCACACATTAAAAAGTTCCAAGCTGGATGGAAGTCTTCACCGTCTTTAAACACCCAGCGTATAGCCCCGATTTAGTGCCACGTGACTTCCACCTCTTTCCTGAACAGAAAAAGTGGCTAAGAAAGCAGAGGTTTGAGACTAATGACGATCTTAAAAACAACATTAGGGCCCATCTCAAGTCATTGGCGGCAACATTCTATGACAAGGGAATTGAAAAGCTCGTCCACAGATATGACAAATTCCTCAATCTTCACAGTGATTATGTCAAAAAGTAACCATGTTTGTACCTAACTTTTGGTAATAAATTCATTTTGTTATTTACCCTTTTCTTTGTTTTATGGACCATTGGAGCTTGAAAAAACGGTCTACGTATTTCTCAATGTTTTTAACATTTGAATTACTTATGTAGTGTGCTCTCCAATGTAAGCATTAAGTAAAATTTTGTTTTATAAATTAATTTGTTTTTACTAGGGATGATTTTTTTCACCAGTTGTCTTTTAATTTTTCATATAATTAAATACTTAACTAAAAATAATAGTAGCGATTATTTGGTTTTTCTTCAGTTTGAAAGAAAATTAGACAAGAAACCAAAATGGCAATGTTCTTAAACTGAGCCAAATCACTTTATTAGCATGCCATTATTGTCAAATTTAATAAAATCTCTTTGTGAGCTACTTCGATATTCAAGCGATATTACAATCAATAATTTATCCAAAAATTTTCTGTCTTAGTTTAATTAATTTATTCATAGCTGTAACCAAACTACTATTTATCTGATTACAAAAAATTTCTAATTACCTTTTTAGTGCAAGATGGAAAAACTTATTTTATTAAAAATTATATAATAAAGGATAAAATTAAATACCTATAAAATATAATAGTTTGTTCCATCTTGCTACTTTCTTCTCAGAAAGAGAAGACATTTTATGTAGCATTATTCTATGCCCACAAGACATAGGATAATGCTACATTGTGATTAATAAACATTGGCTAATTGCAAATTTATATGGTGAATGTCAAATTTACATTAATTAATTTCTTTGTTGGTCATCTGTATTCAAAAATGTAAATGGCATAATTCTTGATCAAACACAAAAGAATGATGAGGTGGAAAAATTAAAAACTCTCTTCCTCCTTAATTATAAAAGTTGGAAACAATTAATTATTTTAAAATTTTTTGTGTAAAAAACTATGAACTTATTCTGTTATGAAATAGAGAGTGATGATGCAACACCCGATGCCAGTCCCGATCCAGTTCCCGAACTACCTCCCCGTGGCGTCGCAATAAGCGGACCTGCAAACAGTGCCCATCCTTCGTCGGCGTCTGGTGGAAATGGAAGCAGCGAACTAGTCGTCTCACCAAATGAAAGAGAAACAGGTATAAAATATTTTATAATTGCTAAAACATTACACCTTTTTGTTGTTAGTGTTCTAATTACAATTAAAAAGAACCAAAAAATACACACAGACAGACAGAAACCAGAACATTTTTTAATGAACTTTTGAAATAGTTTTGCACAATGATATATTTTTTATATATATATTAGATACGGGGCCCGATATTTATCAGACTCTCCAAGAATATCCTTGGTTTCACGGGATGCTATCTCGCAGCGACGCGGCCCAACTCGTGCTGCGAGAGGGACCGATCGGCCACGGAGTTTTTCTGGTGCGTCAGAGTGAAACTAGAAAGGGAGAATACGTGTTAACTTTCAATTTTCAAGGCCGTGCAAAGGTAAATTTTTTTATCTATACACTGATAAAATATAACTGTTACATATATGGTTCAAAATTTTCATAAATTTGCATTAATCTTGTAGAAATAATTAAACACAAATTGTAATATTTTGATATAATACAAAATGAAATGTCTTCTTCTGCGAAGGTATTTGATGGAACAGAAATGATTTCCTATTTCATATCATCAAAATCAATCAACAAATTGTAAAGTGTTATAATCCATAAAACACTAATTTTATTGAGTTCTCCCATAAACAGTGTTTTACGGCAATTATCATATTCGTTCTTAAATTTTCCCATATAAAAGAATGGTGTCATAGCCATTGCTGTGCAAAATCAAAACTTCAAACATATCTGAATGTTTTCTTACACACATCGATACTTGTTTAACTTATGGTGGATGCCTGTATTTGGATAGATTAGAACACAAAGTATTAGAGTATGTTGTTTTTTGCAATGCTGGAATTCTGAAATGATGCTATCAAGAGTAGCATTATTTCAGTATAGTTTTTACAAAGTTTTTTAAGCAATTACATTTTGCATCAAACTCTGAAAATTATTTTTCATTTCTTGCTGAAGCTGGCTGGCTATTCTGTTGATTCACATCCCTTTTTAAAATGTTTACAACATTCATACATTTGTATATGTAACACATTGTCATCTGTCATTGTCATTTACAAAGAGACTAGCAATCAATAGACTGGATAGCCATATGAAATTCTTAAAATGTTATCATGATATATGGCAATGTACACGTGCGTAACTTGAAAATGCATGGTTTATTCTCACATTGTTCTGAGGACGTTAACAGATGAGAAAATAAACTGATCGACACAGTTGACAAAGACCCGGAAAATCTAAATATTGCTTATTGGCAATTAAATCTGGATTTTTATGATCCACTGGACAAATGCACCTCATCAACATTGAAATCTGCCTCTTCAAAAAGACACATTCATGGATCTGTGAAGAAAAGAATTTTTTGTAACAAAAGTTTTTTCCTATCAAGAAAAATCAGTGTCTTACAAGTTTGTCCCGAGAGTAGACCCATTAAAAAAGTGTATTATATTGACATTATCGGTAACCTCGGTGATACAGTAACATGAATGGTTTCATCTGTTGCAAGCAAAAGCTGGATTCTTCGACACAACAATGCCTCATCACATGTACTTCTACAGTCTCATCTCTCCTGCAGACTTTGACATCTTTATCAAAATGAAAGGGTCACAGATTGCAAGAATTTTAATAAATGGTATGAATATTGCTTGAAGTGCGTAGCTGAAGAAGTAAATATTTTTGACATAATCAAAGTTTGGTTTATTTGACTCAAGACTTTTGCATTTTAATTATGAGAAAATGATCCATAATATAAAAATTTCTACTAGAATAAAAATTCATTATTTGTGAAACTTTGCAATGAAGCATTACAGGAGACGATAATCAATACTTTTCTTTATTTTATTTGAATAGCTGAACATTTTAATTTTTGTTTTGGTTAGAAATATTTTAGTTAATTTTAAAAAAATTATAAAAATTGATAAAATTATATTACATACATTATATTTTCTTCTTTTCTGAAGTATACATCATTTATTAAATGGGTAAAATATGTCAAAACTTTTAATGTTTTTCTTTGTGGATGATGATGATTTTTTTTTTTAAATAATAATAGAAAGTAAAAATTTCACAGTATATCAATGTAAATAATGCTGCAAATCCAAATCTGCATAGAAATGTTTTGTCAGATTTAAATTTTATTTCATTTAGTCTGTATTTTAATACTTTATTCAAATTAACAAAATAATCTTAAATTTTATTCTGCAGCATCTTCGTATGACAATTAATCCCGAAGGTCAGTGTAGAGTTCAACACCTATGGTTTCAGACGATATTTGACATGCTTGAACATTTCCGTGTGCATCCCATTCCCTTGGAATCGGGTGGTGCCTCCGACGTCACGCTGACCGAGTTCGTGGTCAACCTAGAGGGTACGCAGCTTTCGAGCACTGCGCACGCTGCCAGGGCGTCGCCTTCTCACACGCCCGCGGCAAACAACTCCAACGGCAACCATGCACACCGTGTTCCTAGCGTTCCGGAGCTGCGAGACGTCGTGACCTATGGAGGTTCGGTCCGGGTACGGAGTCAGTCTCTGGAGAACCTGCAGTCCCATCACCATCATCCCCAGAACGTGCACGGCAGAGCTGTGGAAAACACCTACTCGTTTGTCTGAGGTCCGTCCTCGATCTCTCGAACGGATTCCGAGACACCGCTCATCTCGTCTGTTAGTCTTTGGTAGACAACGAAACATTGAAAAACGACAATTTAGCTTTTATGGCAAATGCGGTCGATAGGCAGCCGAATAGAGAGTGCATTTCTGTTTCCCGATTGTTCGTCTGACGGAACAACAACAGAACCGTTTACGTTTTTGTGAAATAGTAATAGATTTTGTCGATTTTCATTTTAGCAACTTAATTCTGCTCGAAGTCTGAAGAAACTTAGGAATACGGTTCTTTGTGAATAGTGTTGCATGTGAGTGATTATATGGAAATATCCGAAGGACCGAAGTTTTCATCATAATTTACTCAGTGACTTGAATATCGAAGACTTGCATGCATCGGAATTTAATTTTATCATTCAGTGCAATTATTTTGCACAATCATGAGTGTTTTTCCTGTATTAAAAGTATACACAGAATTTGCATTTTGAAATGTGAAAATCTTCCAATGCTGCTGTCGTGGCAAATAAATTATAATTATGCATGAAATTTGGATTTTATTATTTACAAAATAATGCTAGTCTATTTGACAAATTAGTTGTAATCTACTTAATATGATAAATAAAAATAAAATTGGCATTTTGAAATCTTTTGATGTTGTGTTGACAAGATGTAATTGGCCACATACGTCTTAAAATATCAATCCAATAAGTTGTTATTAGACTTCTTCATGTTAACTGATTGGTTTATAAGTAGATTCTTCTCATAATACAAAGCATTATCACAAAATTTTCATGGCGTGTATGACAATTATACAAAACATAAACAAAAGCTTTTTGTTCACTTCTATAACAATAAAATGAACAATATTAAATCATGTTTGCATTGGCTTTTTGCACTGGTAACGGTATTTATAAAGTCTTAAGAGGTGGTGTGATCACGTTTCTACAAATTTGTATTCCATGGCTGTTCTAGGTTTGAATCTCAAATCTTTTACAAAATTTATTTAATCTTTAGTAAAAAAAGAAATGTAACCCACCTTTCTTCAAAAATAATTTAGTTGTGTACTGTTGTTCCATTCCTGTCCTATACTGCTGGCCATTAAAAATGTTACACCAGAAAGGAAAGCAAATAGCAGAATCATATTTATTGTACTGTACATATACAGTATAATGGGAGGAAGACATGCTTAAATTGACAGGTCATTTTGAGGTACAGAGCATGCAGGAATCAGTACCCAGAGCGGCTGCCTCTGGCAGAAATAACAGCTGTAATCTGACTGGGCATCAAGTTGAACAGTTTGGATGGCAGTTATGAGTATAGTTGCCCATGTGGTTTCAACTCTATGCCAGAGTTCATCTATTGTACTGGCTGGCGAGTGGTAGCATGCCAGTTTCTTGGCAACCATTGACCAGACATTCTCAATTGGTGACAGATCTGGAGAACATGCTAGCCAGGGCAACAGTTGAACACACTATATTCAGGAAGATCAGGAAAGCATGGGCAACATGCAGTCATGCATTGTCCTGTTCAAAGGTAATATTATGAAGGCTTTCAAGACAGGGCATAGCTACAAGCCTTAACACATCAGAAATCTAACCACAGCTGTCCAAATTACTGGACTATATGAACAAGAGGTGACCAAGATGTGTACCCAATGGCACCTCATACCATCACTCCAGATGATGGACCTGCATGATGAATGCAAACTGGCAATGATTGTTCCTCAGTGGATCCACACATGGATATGGATATGGCCATAATGATGCTGTATGCAGAACCAGGCTTTGTCTAAAAAGACATTGTGATGCCACTCCTGTGTCTGCATTTGTCATTGACTGCACCATTGTAGGCAGACCTCATTGCACTGGCACCATCTGTACAGATGCTTGTTCTGAAAATGACCCAAGTTCACAGTTCAGTCACATCAAATACCCTTATTCAGGGTACTTGATGTGACTGTACGATTCCACAAGACCATGTGGAGAGATGTCTGTCCTCACAGGCATTACTGACCAGAGGCTGCTGAGATACCATACAGCATTGTGTATGGCCTTCCTGGACCCATCAAATCCATATTCTTGTGACAGTCATGGAATCAGGACCAACGTGAGCAGCAATAGCGTGAAACAATAAACTGCAGTTCCCGTAAGCCAGGGGTCGGCAACCTTTTATTTTCGTAAAGAGCCATTTACTGAAATAATACTTATGGAGCCACCTCAATTTTTAAAAATATACATTTTTAAAAATTGAGCATAAAATGTTTTTTTTTTTCTTTTGTTAAAATGGGTTTATTTGTGCTTTACTTAAAGGTGCTGTAATAAAACACAATGCAATTCAATTATTTATTATCCATGTTACAATAGTCGTGATTTTTGTTATTAAAAAACTTTTCTTGACATATTAAACACTGGGAATCCTGTTAAATTTGAAACTGCTGCATAGAATTCAGTCCATTCACTTCTCAATTTTCTTCTACTTTTCTCTTTTTTCCAGCCATATTAATTATAAAAAGTAGAACAGTGATTTTCTACCAATGTAACAAATAAGAAAAATTATCTAAAAACCTGTTTTTTTATATCTTAAGCGCAAGAAAACAAATAGATAATAATCTCCGGAAATATTATGATTATAATAAACTTACTTGATAAAACAGTAGATTAACTTCTATATAAAAGATACCCAATAGAACACAAAACTAAAAACAGAAAATTTACAGACCACTTACCAACACAAGAGCAACACTGTAAGTGAGAAATTCTAGAATCATTATAAAAACAGTCATAAATTCTAGAGACAAATAACATTGTGTTTTCAGTCATAAAAGTAAGGAAACTTTCCTATTTACAGTACAATAAACATTTCTCACAACCATACTCTAATTTTTACACTTTGTGCCATCTAAGACTTGATAAATACAACTAGATGTTGTGTTCTTTATAAATGCTTTTATAGGTAAAATGACAAGTGATTAGTGAAATTAGAAAGTCTCTTAAAAAATATTAGTGGAGTTTATGAGTTATCTTTTCCTTTTATTTATAACAAAATAAAAATTTTAATTTATGTATATTATTAACTAATTTAAAAAGAGCCTCAATTATGCATTAAAAGAGCCGCAGGTTGCTGACCCCTGCCGTAGGCCATGCTTCTATCACGATCAAACTCTGGCACATATTGGTAGGCATTCCTCCTCCTCACACGAGGCATAACAAAACCTTTACACAAGCAACCAACATGCAAATGTAATTTCTGTACGAGAAACCAGTTTTACAATCTTCCCTTTTATACAGACTGTAGGTGGTGGCTTTACTTCTACCTGCTTTTCAAGCATGTGTTGAAATGCTAATAGTTTGCTTTCATCAAATTTCATGTTTATTGCATACCACCGTGGTGCAGCAATTTTAATGGCNTATGAGTTATCTTTTCCTTTTATTTATAACAAAATAAAAATTTTAATTTATGTATATTATTAACTAATTTAAAAAGAGCCTCAATTATGCATTAAAAGGGCCGTATGCAGCTCCGTAGCCGCAGGTTGCCGACTCCTGCCGTAGGCCGTGCTTCTATCACGATCAAACTCTGGCACGTATTGGTAGGCATTCTTCCTCCTTCCTCCTTACACGAGGCATAACAAAACCTTTACACAAACAACCAACATGCGAATGTAATATCTGTATGAGAAACCAGTTTTACAATCTTCCCTTTTATACAGACTGTAGGTGGCTTTACTCCTACCTGCTTTGCAAGCATGTGTTGAAATGCTAATAGTTTGCTTTCATCAAATTTCATGTTTATTGCATACCATCATGGTGCAGCGATTTTAATGGCTAGCAGTATACATACAGATTTCATTTTACAAAACTTTAAATATTTCATGTTCAAAATAAAAGTTTGTAAGATCTGTATAAATAAATATGATTATCTACTTTTTAATATATGTACTACAAATTTCTGGTATATATTNATCGTGGTGCAGCAATTTTAATGGCTAGCAGTATACATACAGATTTCATTTTACAAAACTTTAAATATTTCATGTTCAAAATAAAAGTTTGTAAGATCTGTATAAATAAATATGATTATCTACTTTTTAATATATGTACTACAAATTTCTGGTATATATTCCATAGAAAATAGTTAGATTGGAAATTAAACCTTTGCATAACATGCACATCCAAATTTGACTGGTATTTTTTCTTTTCCAACCAGCACTAGGCCTATTAACTATAGTCTGAGTGTAAAAAACATAAGTTTGAAAATTAAATCTATGACCATACAAATAATTTGGGTCCTTACAAAATATCCCTTTTTAATAATCCAACTAGAGACAGACGGCAAACAACTTAAAAACCGATGAAATGACATTAAAAAATACAATACAATACAATTGATGCCAACCTTTTTTTAGAGGATCCAATGCCAAAAATACAGCATTAAAATTCTTCACAATATCACTCAGGTAAAAATCAATTTGCATTTATCTGCAGACCTCTGGTGGAAAACTGGAACAGCTTCATAATGCCGTGTTTAATGCCGTGTTTTTGGCATCGGATACTCTAAGAAAAGGTCGGCGTCAGTTGTATTGTATGTATTTTTTAATGTCATTTCGTCGGTTTTTAAGTTGTTAGCCATCTGTCTTTAGTTGGATTATTAAAAAGGAATATTTTGTAAGGACCCAAATTATTTGTATGGTCATAGATTTAATTTAATCAACAAATTTATCCTTGGAACTATGTAACTAATAAGTTTGAAAAGTTTGAAAGCAAAAGCATATATTATATATACTGCATATGGGCACTGCTGACTAAGCTGAAGGGGAATAACTACCTCATAGTTCCTCTGTAACTACAGCTCTGACTCACTAGGTCCCCCACTTTAGTTGTGTTGACAGCTTGGATTTATCGGACATTGACTCCACAAGAGTCTGAAGGTGTTATGCAAGAATTCTTAGCCATGATGGCACTGTGTAACTGTTGCATATTGGCAGGTTCTCCTCTAATGAAAACAGCTCTCTTTTATACTATTTGCATGGGAATCTGGTCACATGATCATCAGTTGTTTAGAATACAAAGGTTACTTTTGCAGGAGTGAGCTAGGCGATGACTTTTGTTGATGTAATAGAGTCGCTTTCTGCTCTCCATTCACAATAGAATGTTATCATTTCACAACTGACTGTTAAAATTCCCATCTGTTTGTTGATAATAAAGCTGTCATTCAATCCATATCTGGTGCAATGTTTTTATCTAACTATTGCAACGGATGTTTACTAAAAAATTCTCTTAAAAATGGATTTTAATACCCCTAAAATCATCGATCTTACATTAGCAAGGTATGCCTGTATCGTCAAAAGTAAATTCAGTCAGATTCGATACTCTCAAATTATGATCACAAACAGTCGGATTCTAAGCATGCATGACAAATAAATAAATGGCATTATACAACAATTAGGTTAGAAAAATATATTATTGAAGAAAATTATTTATTAAAACTCCATTTAAGAAAATTGGTTGCCTGCAAATCAAAATGGCAGCAGCCATCTTACTTGTTCCTTGAAAGGACAATTCAAATAAATAGCATTTTAAATTAAAAAAATTACTCAAATATTAATATTGATGTAATTATTGGAAAAGATTGATTTTTAGCAATATTTTTCCTGCAAACATGAAGCATAGTCAGGTCTAACATTACATCTAATAACAAATGATCTTATTTTTCATAATCATTTACGTGTTATTTTTCAAAAACTAACAATCAGATCCGACAATGGATAATCAGCCATCTATCAGTAATTTTATATATTTTAAATCAACTATTTAAAATTATTGAGTAATGTAAATGGAACAAAAATAATAATAAATAATTGCTCATTTTTTAATATAATATACAGTGGGTGATCGATTTAATGAACATAATCCGTTCCAAGACTTTGTTCGCTATCCGAATTGTTTGTTAACCGATTATCGATTTACCATAGGTTTTTATGAGAATTTGATTCATTCATTCTGGTGACCCCAAAAAATAAAAAAATATAAATGCAGTAAGAAAGTACAGCTGTCCCTTGATAATCTGACATTTTGTAATCCGACATGCTCAGTCGTCGGCCACACCTCCCGTCAAGGTCCCCGTTACGTGTCTGCTTGCACAGAAGCATGTCGCGACGTGAATCTCCCCACCCAATTCTTACACGATGACACACATTTCATGTGTTTTCCGTGAGCAGTTCTGTTTGAACAGTTGGAGTAGGGAATATTGTAGGCTACTGCTAGCAAAACAATGCCAAATATGTAATGACTTTCGGTAATCCGACACCCTTTGGTCCCATACCTGTCGGATTATCAAGGGACAGCTGTATATATGTAATAATAAAAATTCAAGACTGTGTATATGTCATGTTTTTTCCGTTTGTTTGGGGTTAAAGAACCTGTCTAATGTCGATTGCTTTTCCCTCTTCAGGATTTATCAGAAGAAATTAATAATAGCATTGAAATTGTAGAGATCCCCAAGCCTATTAACGTCAATCTGGTTTGGATGCCATTCTAAGACCATTGTTCTGACATCCTCCCACTTCTTAAAGATCTTTTGAATAGCAGATATCAGCATTAGTCCTCTTTTTCAGAAGAAAACATAAATTGCCGAGATTCTTCGTGTTCTTCACTCAAGAGTTCTTGGCGTTCTTCTGTCGTTAGATCCGTTTCAGGTTCCATTATGAACTCTTCAATGTTCTTTATTTCTCAGATGTGATTTTTGTTACTCCTTTAGCTGCTTGAGTCTTCTTGATTATACTTTTTACTATCTTTCTTAGATAAGATTAAACTGCGGCCTATTGTAGACCTGTTCAAGCCATACTGCCCAGCAACATCAGACATCTTCTGCCACTTTCTACTTTTGCTATTATACTCTAACCTTTCGAAAATAAAAACCAATGGAAAACTTAACAAGTGCTGGCCTGACAGTCTCACGAATACTATAAAAGAATTGTTTCTGTCAAAAAAATAAAAGGCTGGAATTACAAGGGAGAGTTTCAAAGTTAGTAGGAATACTATCCGATCAGTATATACCTGGTTGAGTGTTGATGTCAATGTCTCCCGTGCTCTGAAAAGTTCGAATTGTTCCCTAAAGACAAGGGAAGATCATTCGGTGTGCATTATTTTATGCCATTGCTTCTTGTATTTGTTCTCGGAGGTGTTTGTTGTCTGAACATAAAAATCTTTCGCGAAAGTGTTCGTTAACCGAACTGTTTATTAACCGATCACCCACTGTATTAAAAAACAAGCAATTATTGATGATTAAATATGATTAAAAATTGCAGTCTGAAATTAAATAAATTAAAAATATGATTATGACAATTTAAAATATATGCTCTTCACTTCAAATTAGTAGTGGCTTGCCCCTGTACAGGTACAGTACATTTTACTTTTCCTTTAACAAGAGTTGTGCTGGTCATCTAACACCTTTCAGAGGAAAATTTTTGATTTGAAATAATATAACTTCCAGTTTGCATCAAAAGCTTTTACATAGTTAATCGGGGCCTCCTCCTCCTAAAGTTTCCATATCTGGTCTCGTCTTTCATCTATCTAACTTTGTTCTCAAGATTATGGAAAGATAGACAGACAGATGACAGTGGGAATTTATAGGTCTACAATTTTTTCAAATTGCAGCCCAATGATGATTTTCCACTGGAATTTGCCTAAAATGCAGATGGCAGTTTATATTTGAATTATGCTTATCTAAGCAATCATGTCTTTTTAGAAATTTTTATAAATTTTCTAAGAGTATACTTATTGTTCTGGCCATTTTACCATAATTATTATATAAATTAATAATAAAAAGTAAGTACGAAAATAACTTTGAAAAAATTAAACAGAAAAAGATCTATTATACTAGAGATGATCAACATTGAGGTTTTAAACCTAGATGATATAATGAAGGCTTTTCAAACAAGTCCAGTATAGCACACTGCCAAAGTCATTTTGGCAGGAATGATTTCCCTATTAGATAATGTTATTGTTAATTTTAATATCAATTTTCATTATTATTATTTTATTTACCACTTATTCATGCTAAAGTTGCATATAACCTTTACAATTTCCAATGACATGAATAAGAGCTAAATAACTTCTGAACCCACTAGAGAAAACTAATATACAGTAATAATCAGCTTCTATTTTAGAAATGGAAAATTCAAAGTATATGTTTAAATAAATGTCTAAAATCGAACTGAGGGCGAGTGAGATCCGTGTACACACGCCTTGTTTATACACCTTTTCATGTCTTTGGTGGTTTCTAGAAAAATTATTATGGCAGATGTGTGGGATAAAAAGTTTTTGCATTTTTAAACACACACTTGATAAGTTTAGGCAAAAGAAAGGCTATTGGATTATTTTCTAACTAAATTTTGCACTGCTTTCAAATTGACTTTTAAACACAGATAGCCCACAGATTAGTCACAAGATATTACAGTAATTCTGCCGTCAAATTAACATCTGTAGATAATTAAAAATGAAATTGTTATTTAATAGGTGTAATTAAATATTTTGATTAATATGAAACATCAAACTTATAAAATAGGTATGAATCTAAAAAATAATTTTATTGTGCATAAATCTTTACAGTATTAGTTATAACAGTCGTAGCTTTTTAATTTTTTTAAAATATGTAAAAGTAACATTGTTAAAATCAACACACAAAATAGAATTAAAAATCTATATACATACATACATATATATATATATTACCAATTTACTTGGATAAGACATTTATGTTAGTGTTGAACTTTTGAATTTGTAGTGATGTGAAATGCTTCCTGGCAATGACCTGCAATATTAAATTATTGTAGATTATATATATAAATTGAAATAAAAGAAATATTTTTGTTGGAATTTTACAAATGTAATTCCAAATATTTCTGGTACCCTATAACACTCAATTTATAAAAATAATTCTCCAATAAAATGAATAAAAAGTCCAATCTCAAACTCATAATTTGTTTATGCAATAATCAAAATATCTTTGATAAATGACTAATTTATGTGGATTCCAAAAAATTGAATGCCTTTGTGACATAAAACACATTCTTCATCCTACAGGTTAATACAAGATTTTTTACATCTTAGTCTTTCTATAAGTTAAATTTATTTCAAGTATTAAGAATTAATAATGAAAAATTTAATTTCAATCATGTTATTTAAAAATATTGCATCTGTATGTTTTTGAAAACAATTTACAAGTAATCTAAATTACGACTATTACTTTCATTTTTTAATTTAAAGCAAATATTTAGCTGACAGATTTTACTCAAAAACCTAATTATGTGCCATAAATGGCAAATTCAATTTTTCAAGACAAACCAATTTAATTATTTATCGGTTAATTTTAATGATCATAAAATAAGAAAAATTTTAGATTTTATATAGCACAATATCTGAAATACTGTAATAATAATGAAATGAATTTACATATTGGTTTTATTTCAGTTTATAATTTCCAAATTTTATTCTCTATAAAATAATAAAAAAAATTGTTATTCACTATTCTAAAACTAATTTGCTCAATGAGAACTTCAGTTTTGTAAGTTAAGAAATTTTTTTTCTTAAATTAAAAATAATTTATGCCACAATATAAGAAATTATTTAAAGAAGAAAATCAAAAAAAGAACCTTATTCTAGATGTGATCAGATGCCATATTTTCTACTAACAAAAATTATGAAATAGTTTGGATAATTACAGTAGAACCCCTCTAATCCGTCACCTTTGGGACTGGGGATATGGTCGGAACGCATAAAAGGTCAGATTATCAGAAAAAAGTAAAATGAACAATCTTCCCTTTGTCCAGTCTTTATAGCACTGTTAATTTTTCATTTAATGAAAGAGTAATGTGTTTACGTTTCACTCCTGACATGTTGAAAACACACACAAAACTGTACACGTACTGTACACACAATGTAAAACATATACTGTAACGAACACAAGAACGCCACGGACAGTGAGTCACTGACGAGTCGGGACAAGTTTCTCGACTCCAACCACGGTTGGATTAACCGGAGTGACGGACTAGCCGAGGGCGGACTAGAGAGGTTCTACTGTATAGGACATCTCATTAAAACATACAATCTTGTTAAACATATCTCTAATTCCAATTGACTGTTTCTAGGATAAAGTTATACATTTACGATCTGAGTGACTGATGATTCATTTTACTGTATTAGTAAACTTAATGGCATAAGCCAAAATTTTCTATTTTGGCAGGTTTTCATTCTATAGAGAACTTGCATGAACATCATTTCATGTGACCAAATGACCATTGCTCCTCCTGTGCCCATATTTGTGGAGGTGTATATAGTTTGGCTTGCATCTGAATGTTTACCATCGCTTCTGCCAGTAAATAGCTCGTGTTTTGATCAGTAAGAGTTATTTAACAACTCTTACTGATCAAGATGCCAAGTGGTAAAAAAGTAAAATTGTAATGTGTCGTGGAGTGTTTGTACAAAGATGACTCAAATTCATTTGTAGAGGATTGTACTTCGTGGCGAGAGATTGGTTATTAAGACAAGATGTCACCATATTCTCAATTTTTAACTCTTCCACATGAAAGCATATAAATCACTTGAAGCTCACAATTTTGTAAAAAGTGGATGGGTTGATCCAAATATTTCAATAAAGAGTTCTTCGGAACATACCTCTTCTAGTAAAAGAACTTTAAGTACATTAACAGAAACTATGACATAGTTTTATTGACCATTGCATAGCATCATTTCTATCATAAATGTACTGTACATTTTTAGTCAGTACAATGATACAATATAAGTGCTGTGTAATAATTTTTTCTTTGTAATTGTCTAATTTGTTTCAATCTGTTTTAAAGTTTACTTACACCTTACTCTTCATTAGATAAACCACTCAAAGTTTACACCTTTCCCCATTAAAGTTTGGTTACTGTCATATATCAGGTAGTGATGGCAATCAAACATTTATAATTGACAAATCATGGTTAAAATAACTGCATTAATTGATTATGTTCCTTTTGAAATAACATTACGATTATGACATAATGTCGCTTCATCTATGAGTCATACAGATATCCATAATCATATGTACTACTGTGTTACAACTATGGGTGCATCTATATACTTCATACACAAAGCATCATACACTCAACATAGTTTTACAATCTACAGCTCAATGTAGCTGTTTTCAATAATTGTAATTTAAAAAACTAATATTTGATTGCAATTTTATTCTTTTTGTTACTGGGTATATTTATAAACACAAACTTGAACAGATTGTGAATTTTATTTATTATTCTAAGCTGCAAAAAATGAAACAAAAACTATTACTTTGACAAATTACACACACACACACACACACACACACAATGCAATAATTGTAAAAATCATTAAGTTTGACATTGACTTTTTTTCTTAGAAGGAGAACAGAAATACCAAAAAAATCACAGAGTTCTTAGAAGTGTTATCAATATGCATTTGCTCAGTTATTCTCCTAAATTAGTTGCTTACTGTTGCTTTGTTTATCACAGATTTTTTGTTTTCCAATATGAGGTTGTACTAGTGATTCTGCAACTTGTTAAAAAAAATCTTTTTATGGCATGAAAAGTTAAGTGGGTTCTATATGGTAAATAACGGATGTTATATAAGCATGTGCTTTTTTTTTTTTTTTTTTTTCATTTTTGTGTATTATGTTTAGTACTATTGCACTATCAATTAAATTATAATCGATACTGAATCCCAATTAATTGGTGTCAATTATAGAATATAAAGTTATCAATTAATCAAAAAATGAATTGTCAGAAGAAAAATTGTCATCATTAGTATTAGTATCAGGTGACATTACAACAATAGAAACGTCACAAATATGGAACTGAGCAAAATGCACATGCGCAATCACGTACATCCAGGACTCCAATATGTGACATGCAAGTTGTCTATAGAGGGTTACATTGTTGTTACAGTAATTCAGAAAAAGATTATCAGTTCTAAATATGAATTGTAACATTTACATAAGTTTAACATAAAAATAAATTAGTATATATACAACTTTAACTTATAAAATAAACTTTTTAATCAATACTTACTTAATCTAGGTAAGGGAGTATAAAATTATCAAAAATAGTCTGATTTTTGTGCCATTGATAGTGATCAATTCCAGCCATGGTTAAAATTTTCATTGCATTTCTTTCACTTAATGTCCTAAGCCCAAATGCATCAATTTTATACACCTAATAATATAAAATACCAATTACTTTTTAATATATTATACATTTATTTATATTCTTTGTTCAAAATTTATTTTTTTTTCATCTTAAAATTCAATAATTAATTCTATTGCTTTTTATTAATAATTAATTCTATTGCTATTATATGCAATTAATAGAATTAATTATATGCAATAATTAATTCTATTGCTATTTTATTCTATTGCTTTACAATAGAGTCAAATTAAAATTTGACTCTATTGTAAAGAATCAGTTATTTATCAATAGAAAAGTGTCATATATATAAAAAATTTTAAAGATTATTCATGCCCCAAGCTTTCAGAAAGACTTCAGCAGTATTGCTAATGTCTCTATAAACAATTTTACAAAAAATATCTATTTACAATAGAGAAATAAGAAATTTAAGTCAAAATCAACTATTAAATTAAATACTTCTCACAAAAGATTGTTTTAATTTTGCATAATCATTGCTAAAGTATATATCAGTTCCTGTCTCATGTCAATCCTAATAGCTGCAGTCACTATCACAGATAGAAACCTTGCTACAGAACTATCTCTTCTCTTATCATTAGCAAGCGGCTAACAGAAGCAAATTTCCTTGCACACCAACCACTAAGTCCTGCCATTAGTGCTTCCAATATTGGTGCCTTTGTTTGCAATGGCACCACGACAGAGAAGCGTGGACTACTACAGACTGGTATATCATCTTTAGGGATGAATCCTAGTTCTGTTTGGGAATGAATGACCATTATGTTGAACTATGGAGGAACACTGGTGAATGCTTTGATCCCACATTTACTGTTAAGTGGCACATAGCCCTCACTGCTAGTGTGCTAATCTGGAAAGCCATCTCATATGACAGTTAATCATCCTTAGTAGTGGTACAAAGGACATTGATGACACAGCAGTATGGTCAGGAAATCCTGTGTTCTCATGTTAGCTATTTGCAGCCCTGCTATGACATTTTCAGCAAGATAATGCTCAGTTGCACACTTCTTTGACATGCTTCTTTTTGTCATTGCATTTATCAGACAGGATGCCACAAATCAAAGTGTCAGGGATCTGGAGAAGCAGTTGCAATGTTTATGGACAAATCTGTTGCATAATTGTCCCTTCATGTTCAACCTTATAATAGCATATATCCAGGCCTAAAAGATACTACAGGTTCCTTTAAATTGTGCTGTTGTTCCACAGATTCTTCCTTGTAATTACTTACTACCATCATTATGTTTACTAAAAATTTCACTGATGTGTAACTCTTTTGATCAACGAGTTTATTTAACACTTCTGGGTGATTTAAGGAGTATTAGGTGTTCAAGATATGCAAGTCATTTTTCTATATTTCTGATTAAATACAGCATATGAATATATGATGATAAATGATATTAATGTTTGTTTACAGGAAATGTGTTTTTTTGTTCAACACAGGTGTAGCAATGATATATCGCAAAGACAAAATTTTGTCACTCCTTATGAAAGTATTAAATATGATTTTGTACAATATTTTGACACTTATTTCTTAATTATTTTATGCAATATTTTTCATTATCGTTATTTTTTGATACGTTGTCTGATTTTTGTTCAGTGATAATCAGGTTTCTGCGATTTCTTATTCAGAATACAATATAATTGAAGCAATCTTTTATGTTTTATCACCAGAAACTAATTGAGAAGCCAATCTACACACTAAAGATGTTGGCATTAGTTTTGTTCAGTCACAGAGTGTGCAGCTCCAGTATGAAAAAGACTCTCATATCAGGAAAGACCCAATCTTGAACAACACTTGTCTTATAAATTATTGGCTTTTTGGTCCACAATCACTTCATCCTGAGTAGAATTATCCCTCCATCTATTAGAAAAGCTGTTGCCAGTATGAAGGAGAGAGCACATGTGAACTCTGAGTCAAGGCATCCACTGTTTGGCACAACAGCAGCAGGACAAAGATTAAAATCCAGAAAACTCATTTTAACTGCAATATCTATTTGAATGAATGGAATTAATGGAAAAAAATCTGGTTTTTTCCCCTTCTCATCAAGATATATAAGAAGTCTAGGTTCAAACTGCAACTGGTTATACTGTTCAAACTGTTAGCAACTGGTATACTCAACTTGACAATATTTTTCATTTGGCAGGTTTTTTTTTAAAGACTGCTGGAATCTTATCTGGAAGACATTGTTGACATACTTGTATAACTTTAAAGAATATTTACTCAGAAATGATTCAGCTAAAATAAGTTTAGCATCTTATTATCTCTGGTACTCAGTTTTTCTGTCTATTTCTGATTCACCTACAATTTATAAGTGAAACATCAGTTTTAATCTGAAAAAAAGCTTTATTCAACTTCAGCTAAATAAGTCTTTTTTTGTATGGAAAAACATTGGTATTCCTTTAATCAATTCAGATTTGTGTCAGTTTTGTAAAACTAAATGTTATAATGAATATTAAATTTTCACACAGATCAGAATTTAATAACCTTACTTTTATTATTTATAAAAATGATTAATGAAATAATTTTGCACAATAAGGTATTTCATCAACTCACATGTTTTCATTTTATAATATGTATCCCCCTCCATTCCAGGGGTTCTAACTCTTAAAGGAATTTATAAATTGAACTGATTGGCTGCATATAAGATAGCTACTTGGGATAATGTAAAAATATTAATTAAAAAGTTACTTTTTACTTTTCATAGACACAATGTAGTGACACTTTTTAAACACTTGGCAGATTATTCATCTTTTATTAGGTTGGGACGCTAATTACAAGCCGAGAAAAACCGAACTACGTTGCTGTGATTGGTCGTGTGTGAGACCTGTCTGTATGTAACAGTAGCAACAGTCATTGTATCTTGGCATATCACTTAAATTTATAAAAACTACAGGCATAATGGATGTTGTTATACTTTTCTGTAAATTTGATTTATTTAGATGAATGTTATAAAAAAACTGTTGGTCTGTTCGTTCTACGATCCATTACGTATGCTGTCTATATAAATGTAATTGTCGCATATCAAACTTTTAGATTGGCTGAGGAGGGGCTAGAGCGAAACGCGCCTTGTAATTAGCATCCCAACCTAATAAAAGATGAATAATCTGCCAAGTGTTTAAAAAGTGTCAGTACATTGTGTCTATGAAAAGTAAAAAGAAATAAAAACCACGGTTTCATTGGAATGAAAAGTTACCTCAAAAACTTATAAAACTAAAATAGAACCACACTGTAACAAAATGAAGTGCCCATCATTATGATCATCCAAAATAGGAATAATTTTCATCTCAAACAACTATGAGTATGAAAGTATTTAATAAATATACAACTACTATAATTCACATATATTTTGATAGTAAACTTTTAAATAAAATGCATAGTAAGTACTTGAAATCAATTAAATCTTTGAAGGGAGAGAGAAACAATGGAAAGACTTTCAGTTTGCTGGAGTGTGAGGTAAGACTAAGTGGCAGTTTACAGACCATATACCATAGATGAAATCTCGATTCTGATTGGCTGTGTGACATTTTTTGATGCTTATTCATATATATAGTCCTAAGTAAACCAATTAGAAATTGAATGTGTTAAATCATGGTTGGCATTATATAGCCTGTTCAGATTTGTACACAAAATACTGTTTTTTTCATACATGTACTGTATGTTTGTTATTACCGCATGATATTCAATTCATTGTATTTACTTTGTGCTAAGTTAGACATAAATAAATAAACTATCCTGACTTGACTTCACGCAGAATGTGAACAAAATCATTCCATGTCCTGCCCCTCAGCTTGCCACGACAACAATGTCAAGTAACTCTACAGACTTTTCATACTACACACTACAATGCATGCAGTATTAATATACAAAAGTATTGAATTCATATGTATCTAATTTAAGTAATGCCTTCAGGTAAAGAAGAAAATCTCCTTAAATCCGAAAGTAACTCTGACAGATCTGTACTAAACAATATAATTATAAATGGTAAGCGGATTATCTCAGATAATCCATTTCTCAAATTTTGTTTTCTTCCTAATGTGACCAAATCTGGCAAAAAACTCTCCAACTCTTGGCAAAGCCACACTTAATGTGCATACAACATGCAACTTAAATGTAGCAAGGCACATAATTACCATATACCCTTTACTTTGACTCCAAATAAACCCTATGGGATGTAACATCCAATAAAAAGATGGCAGTCTAAGAACTTCATAACCTCAGTTCTGGCTATTTTGTCTATCATATACCTTTCATAGTCATTCATATACTTTTCTACTACACCAATAATTCAACTATAATGAGTGATTCATCAATGATTTCATTTTTTGAAGTTAGCCAGTCAATACTATTCTGCTTCCTCCATGATTTATTTGGTTTTTTTCTCTCTAATTTCACACTTTGGTATGAGGTATTAACAATCATAATGACATATTCAGATAAAATTTTGGCATCACACTTTCAAACCATTGCAGAAATAGTTATCCATTCACATCTTCATGATAATCATCAATTTTCCTTCATTTGAGGAGAAAGACTATTACCCACATAGATATAGGAATAGTGCTTTTGTCAAAGATAATCAGGATAATAATCAATCAATCAAACAAAAAACCTTTTAAAAAAACTTGTTTGATTTTCACAATAGTGTCACTATGTCTTATTTGTGGTATGTCTCCTGATCACCATGTCTTATGAAAATAAAATACAGTAACTGAAAAATTTGTTATATTACTGCCCACCCCTCAAGTAATCTCCTTCACAATGCCATATCATCCCAATCTAATAAGGTAACTATGTATTGTCAATGCAAAGGAAAACTGCAGAGCAGTAAAAAGCATGTTTAAGGCAAGATATAATAGCAACTGATTCTACAGTATACCACAGTTACTATGTAATCATTCAAAAGCCATAATACACTCTACAATATTAAAAAAAAAATTCCAAAATATAGCAATACTCACATTTAAACCATAAATATCCAAAATGAAGCAACTTTTATACTATAGGTAATAGTTAAAACAAGACATAACCACATTATTTTGATTGACTCATTCCTCTACTTACTTGCTATGTGCAGCAGAAAATTTCTGGACTCATATTTCTTATATATCTTAAAGCAATATTTAAATATTAAGAATTTATAATACGTAAGTATTGCTTTGTGTTTGAGAGAAAGTAACCATCTCAAGTAAACAAATTTTGCAATCAAATACTGCAGAAACTGTATGTACACCTTTAACCAATGAGCAAGAATTTCAATCCCATGAATCTGTTTTTGAATAGAATGGAATAAATATAGAAAAATCATGATGCATAATACTTTCACTGCCTGCCAACTTATTAAGTGTTTTATTACTTTAATGATAACATTAAAATCTGTGAAATTTGTTATTTAACTGTTTTCTCTCAACAGACCATATTTGAACAAAACTAGACATTTTTATAGAATTAATTCAAATAGAATTTAATTTTATTTATATTATTTTATTTTACTTGTGTAATATAAAAATAAAATTTCTAATAAATATATCCTGTTCTCTTTTTTAAAATATTTGTAATAAATATTTTACATAATCACAAATTTTGCATTTGAAATGAGCAATTATTTATTGTGCATTGTCACAATGACAGGCTGCAATTTTTAATCATACTTTTAATTTATTTAATTTAAAATATATGCTCTTCACCTCAAATTAGTAGTGGCTTGCCCCTGTACTTTTCCTTTAACAACAGAGTCATGCCAGTTGTCTATCTAACACCTTTCAGGGGAAAATTTTTGAATTGAAAAAAACATGACTTTTCTGGTATGCATTGGAAGTTTGTGGTCTTGTCGTTCATCTGTCTAACTCCATTCTCAAGATTATAGAAAGAGACAGATGGACAGACAGATGACAGTGGGAATTTATAAGTCTACAATTTTTTCAAATTGCAATTAGTTTCCAGTAATTACTAAAATTTAACTTACCCATTGTTTTTCCATTGGTAAAATATCTTCATTTTTTGTATAAAAACCAAATTGACTGTAAAAAGAAATGAAAAATATAAAATGTTACATGTTTTGTAACATCGCATTTTAGCAAGTTTTTCAAAAGTATCATATTTTGCATTAACTATACAGTAGAGCATCGATTATCTGACCCCCGATTAACCGTCACATTGGTTAACCGACCGTTCTAGTTGGAAAATTTCAAATGTCCGCTAGTGATGTGGCGCTACAATATTTGGCTATGTCTTGGATACTTTAATATTATTTTTGTTAAATTTTTGCGTGTTTTAGCTGGCAACACGGCTCGACCATAGAAGGGAGGCCAGTATTTAAACGAAACTTAATTTTCTAATTATGAGTGGTTGTTTGTTTTGTGAGCAATAAAGTAATTTAAAAATAATTTTTAACAATACAATAGCGACGATTATTATTTTAAAAAAAAAAGTTTGTTAGGCTTACCTTCGATGAAAATTTAACGCAAAGTTGGTTAATAGCGATATACTAATCACATGGGATATACTAATATACTATACTAATAATGTATTTTTTTCATTCTTTTCGGCTATCCGATTTTTTCAGTTATCCAACCAACCTGAGTTCCTAATTGAGTCAGATAATCGATGCTCTACTGTACTAATATATAAAGCAAGAATGTTTTTGTTTGTTTGTTGGCAGTAATGTTGGCATCTACTGAACAAATTTCTAAAATTCTTTCCCTATTGAAAAGCTTATTCCGTCCAGGTGAACATTTTCATATTAAAAAAGGAAAATGTATGAGGAAAATGTTTTATCGTGGCATTTGTCTGCTCTGTTCAAGGTCAATCGCCTTCACCATCTAGTATGCTTTTTTATATTTATTATCTTATCTTATTCAGTTTGATTTGTGCAGTTCAGATAGTTGCTTTGTTTGTATTATCTTAGTCATTCATTCACAATAACACTCTTATGTTATCAAATACTGACAACATCACATAGTTACTCTCTGGTACCCTATGGGAAACATGGACTACATTCCTTAGATTACTACTAGCGGTGATCAACAGAGAAGGTACCAAGACCATCACACCAACTGTGAGGCAGTGTGCTGCTCCAAAGGGTAGGTAGGACTGAGGTGGTCACTACAAAGCCTCCAGACATGAACATGACAGTCATCAGTGCCCAAATTGAATCTGGATTTGTTGCTGTAAATGACCCAGTTACATTCTGTTGCAGTCAAATCCCATTAGGAGCAACACCACTCCAAACAGAGGTAACAATGGACGGTGTCAATGACAGCACATGTAATGGTTGCTGCAATATTAAATGTTCCTCATCCAGGTATCTTGAAGTGATATAGAGAGATACAGGCCTGTAATGATGATGTCACCTGTGTCTGGATGGCAGACAACGATGCGGTTGGTTGCATGCATGCTTGATGGAGGACCAGGCAGTCCTCTTGACTAGTACAATGGGTGGTCTGCTGAGGACATCTTGAGCCTGAGCATCATGTGTGCAAGTTCTCTATGAATAGAAGAGTGACTATGTGAAGTTGTCAGTATTTGATAACATAAGGATGTTATCCACATGCCAAGTTTTGCAGTGATATGACAACTTTCTCTTTGATGTGCTAATTTTTATGGCAATGAGTGTATATAACAGAAACAATATACTTGTGATGCAATCTATGAAAAGTTACCTAACTTAGAAAAGTAAATTTGATCATGTTTTTTCTGCAGAGCAAACAAACACATTCAAAGTCAAAATTATTGATTTTTAAGTTAAGTTTCAATGCTAATTGCTTTAAGTAACATTAGACAAAATTTTAAGCTATAAATATTCTCTGTTAGTTATCACCTTGCTATTCTAACAAGGGAAGCTATCCAAGTGATACAAGGGTGAGTCTAAAAGTAAGTTGTACTCACACCAAAAATAAAAGTATGAAACATATGAGTCAAAAATTTTTATTTGTGTGAATGTACAATCTAAATGCTACTTTTTGACATGAATACTTAAATAAACTTGATGATTATCATAATGTGGTATGAATTTTTTATTCCTTCTTGGAGTTTTTCTATTTCCATCCAACATGCGATAACTATTTGTATGTTGTTTGTGATGTCTTCATTGGAGTCATAACAGCAATTCAAAAAGTTCTTTTTTATGGGGCCAAACACATGGAAATCACAAGGCACAAGGTCGACTGTAGGATTGTCCCATACAGTCCATTTGAATTTTTCCAGTAGGGCCTTTGTGATACCTGCTGAACAAGGTGTGGCATTATCATGCAAAGCTTTCTCATTGTACACGTCCCTCAACTGGCATTGAATTTCAGTGGAGTTACACCTTTTTGCCCATAGGAAACGAATTTCTGTACAAACTTCCAACTTGGACACTACATCCAAATGACGCAGCATCTTTCATGACTTATTAACCTTTGTAATCACTTTAACAAATCTGCTATGCCAGAAGCCAGAAGTATTACTAGTGCTGCCACCAGATTTCATCTAGATATCATCTATCAACAAAAAGTTCTTGTCAATTGCAACTTACTTTTTCACGCTCCTCATATAAACCAAATGTATTAAAATGTTGAAGATTTACTTGACAATGTTAGTAGTGATTTTTAATGGTATTTGTATTGTTTGACATATTGTTTTAATGTCTAAACTTGACATTAAACATTATAGAAAAGGGTTTATTTTAATCAATCCACTGCAATAACTTGAAAAATATGCATCCCACAGAAAGTCACTAAACCAAAATTGTTAGACTTCAAGGGAACCGCAAGATGGGCTTTTTGTTTTATCATATATGATACTATAATTGGTGAAAACAAGGTCAACTTCATTTTCTGGGTTTTCAAGACATTATGCCTTATGCCTATCTCTAGGCAAATTACTCAATTTTTAATTAACAACTAGTAGCATATTATAGCCCGATGTAATCTGGCAATTGTTTAGCATTAAGATAACTTTATTGTTTTATTTAAAGCCAATTTATGCCAAGAAGTAATCGGAATTATTTTAAACTTTTATGGTGTATTTCTATGCTAATTTTCCATTATATATTTGTTATATTATATGCAAGAAAAATTAACATAATAAGTTATATTACATTAATTAAAAAAAATATTACATCATTACCTTGACTGCCAAGGACAAATAACACCATCATCAGGTCCACCAATGAGAATCAATTTTTTTAAACGCATAAAATTTTTTNCGAAAGTGCGATGGAAACAACAAAGTGGCACGGTATATCACATAGGATGATAACCTGTGGACGATAAACCAACTCCATCCGACACTCGCATTTAAGTGCATATACGTTTACTGAGAATATACAGTTTATATATATATATGGTTTTTCATGTACAGTACATCTAAACATGGACGTACTGTAATTATTCAATAAATTATACACGAATTTAGTAACATAACTTTTATCATTTGTTTTCTTAAATAAAAATATTTTAGTATTATATCATCTCCCAAAACCTTTTCATTGAAAGTTTTGTAAAGTACTATATTATTTTTCCGACTTTTCCAACGATTATCAACACGATTGTGTGCCAGAAATAGCCGTTCCCTAACGGGTACTTAGGCGGATTCGCGTTAATGTGCCAGGCCTGGACTTTAAGCATGCACCAAATTAAATAATGACAAAATTAATCAAAAACAATCCAACATTTAATAAAATTTCTAGTAATAACTATATACAAAATTTAGTAAAAATCAAATAACAATTTATTCAATGTAAATCAATAAGAATCAACCCGACAAAACTCAAATCAATCTATTTTTTAACTTAACTCTATTCCCCTTTGGAATTCGACGAAATTTCAAAGACTTAACTTATACACAATAATTCTTATGAATTAAAGATCCTACTAATCGTCACCTCAATATACTAGGAACCTTTTTCCACAACTCTCAAGACTTTCTCTAATCTTCGATCCACAAATCGAATAACTTCAAAATCGCCTTGGAACTACTGTATCCTATCGGATACTCTCTATCGTTTGCTGCTACGAAGCTCACCTTGGTCATCTTCACTTAAGGTTTGGTCATTATACTGTGAGGTGATGTCACAATTCTGAGTGAGATCACTCCCCTCATTTACATACTTATTGCTAACAATAAATTTTTTCTGTTTGCCTGGCAGTCTATTTTCCAACAATACTCGCTAACCTTTTACAATAATGTAAAAGGTTGACAATTTTGACAATTTTTTGACAATTTGGCAATGACTTTTTGACAATTTTGGGGATGTTTTTTATTCTTTAAAGTTTAGCGAGTCCCTAAGTTGTGCTTGTGGGGTCTCCCCCCTTTTCTCGGTGCGGACTTACTTTTTTCTGCTTGGGAGCGCAAGTGTGCGCGAGTTTTATCTATGGCGCTTTTCTCTCGTCCGTGAGTTGGTTTCTCTACTATTTTTAAGTTTCTAAGGTGAGTGGTGAGGAAACCTTCATCCTAACAAAACATAAGCCCCAAACAAAAATAGAATAAAAGCAAAAATAAAAATAACTAAAAATAACGCTCAGACTTGCAGTTACAGTTTCTGACAGTTTCTACTTTTCCTATTAGAAAAACCTAATCACCACTACTTTTAAATCTGTTATTAACATTTTTAAACTCTCTTTTTAAATAACTTTACTTCAATTCATTATATTGGAAATAAATCAATCATTGTTCAAGCAGGGAAGAAAATAATAGTAGTTTATCATCATCTATTTAATCCTTTAGTTATTGTTATTTTTTTCATTGTTAATTTTCTGAGAACACTAAAATTGCTCACAGAAAAAACTTATACTTGATATAATATATTAAAAATTATGCATGGGTAAATCTGTTTTATCACATTTACTATTTTTCTTCTCTTACTGAATCAAACTCTTGTAGAGATATATATTATAGAAGAAATTATTCTAACTTATTGTATGGTAATAATTCTTTAAAATCTATTACTAGTAATTTAATACTAAGAATGTTATGTTCTGTATATAAAATGTAAATAAAACACCATAAATATATTCACAAAAAAAAAAATTCTTGAAAAATGTACATTATGATTTTTTCAGCTTCATTTAAAACAGAATATGCTATATAAACATCTTTACATAATATGTAACTGTTTACATTAGGAATTGACAAATGCATTATTTAGGTTTCTAAATTTACAAAGTCTTTTTGGATTAATTAATTAATAATATAATATAAATAACTATAAATAATATAATATAATAATAATAATAATATCCATAGTTTGTAAAACTTTATATTGTTATTAAGAATATTATTATATGACCTATTTGAACTAAAACAATTATTAATTCACATGTAAAAATATTTAACCAAACCTTTTTCCTTTTAATTTAATAAAATTATAATTTTCATTAAATTTTAAAATATTGAATAAGAAATGTAAAAAAAATCATCTTACTTATATTTTGTTTATGCTTTACTTCATTATTTAAATAGGGAAGAAAAATACTTTTATTTAAAAATATATCACGATGATGAGGATCTGAAAATATTACAGTAATTTTATTTCTAGTAACTATTATTATAAAATATATTAAAATTTCTTATATAATTAATAAATTTTAATTTTTTATATTCTTTAAACAAAATAAATAGACAATTTTAAAGATCTCAATAAATTTAAATGTTTGTTATTTCAAAAGTATATACAGTAGAGCCTTGAAAACTCGGCCTAATGTGGACCGAAGGGTGGCCGAGTTTGTGAAAATGCCGAGTTATTGGGAATGGGGTTAAAAAAGGATAAGCATGTGTGTTTCCTCAGAAAATATTGTACTGTACTTGTATGTATTGTTTGCTTGAGAATACAACAGAGAATAAACTGCCCAAATACCCTTAAACAAAGGAAAAGTACGTCCTTTATGAAGGCATAGAGCCTTTACTACATGAAAATGAAAATTAATGAATACACTGTGTACAGTAATTTACCTGATAAGACAGACCTCAGAAAAATACTTT